TGACGTAACACCGGTATTTACATCAGGAAAACGCTGTTTTGCTGCTGGAGTCCTTCTCACTCTCCATCTCTCTGTGTGTGCTGTACGTTAACACCCACCAGCAGAAACACCCCCCTACCCAACTGACAGACGGAATCTCACTATACATCAGCCATTCTCATCCTCCCCTCTCTCATGACAAGGCGCGCATGACAAGGTGTCTGCAATGGTAACTGTGTTATAGTTACAGTCAAAGTAATTAGTTAGATTACTCGTTACTAAACAAGGTAACGGCGTTAGTTACTCCCGTCACTGGTCATCAGTACTCTTCTGTTCCAATGGACCCAGATTTATTCTGCGTGCTCCCGTTCTCCTTGAGTCCAGACTTTCCTGGGATCTTCTCAATAACAGACTTGGCGAGGAAACAAGTCCGTGCTCGTATTCTAGTGAATTAAGAAACGGCCATTTTCAGGCTGTTTTTTCTTTTCTTTTTTTTAATGCTGCGTCTTTAATTCAATCTCAGGTTTAGTTCTTGAAAAATATCTGCATTCATGAACTCTGACCAATCTGGATTAATTCGGTTTTATGGGGCTACATTTAGCTCCACTACGTGTTTTCTCCATGAAAGCATGGGTTCTCTCTGGGTACTCCTGCTTCCTCCCGCAATCCAAAAACATAATGGCCTTGATGGCCCTGTGGGAATGTGTTTTCATGTATTTCATGCTTTCTATGAACCCTCCTCTCATTGGCCGTTCTGTGTTTCCTCACAGCCTGGAGGTTTGAACCCTTTTATTTCCACAACATTCTGACTTCTTTAAAGCTTCATCAGTTTTATAGAAAAACAAACATCAGGAGGAAACTCTGAGCATCTATTAATGTTCTCTTCTCTGCAGAGCCAGGATGGTGGCTCCCTGTGATGTTTAAAATGGCCGCACAGTGAGGCTGTCTGCAGCGAGCAGTTCCACGGTTTAACTCCAGGGGGCGGGGCCTTTCTGCATGGAGTTACATGCTTTATCCACGCTTTTTTTTTATTTTTATTAACCCATACAATGACCTGCAGACACCATCATGACCTGAAGTCCCTGTTCACTGCAAAGAAAAACAACAAACTCAGGTAATCTGCCATCTGTGATGAATACAGTGATGGTTGTTTCTATGCTCCACCCACTGATCCTGTTGTTTATGGTCTAACAGCAGATTTCATCAGAGGGTTTACTGCTGCATGTTTGGCTGCTCCTGTGTTTGTTTCCTACAGTCTGGCTTTAAACAGGCTCTTTAATGAACGTCCCACGGCTGCAAAGGAATGCATAAAAACAGCGCTGACGTCACGCTGCCTCAGAGCGCGGACAGAGATCAGAAACAGGAAGCGATCTGAATGTTTCTGACCAGAGGAGCTGATAACAGCCGTTTAATGGAGCTGTTCAGGCTCAGACTGCAGGAATGACTGGCATCTATAAATCTGCACAAAGTGTTAAACTCCGCCTCTGTTAACGTAGAAAAACAGCTGCAGCTGCTTATAAATGATTTACAGGAATTATTATTCAGGTTTATCTTTACAAACATTACATGGGATTTATTTATCTGTGTTTATCTCTCAGACGTCCAAAACGACGGGTCCAGTCAGGTCCAGGTCCAGTCTGATCCAGGTCCAGGTTTTATTTCTAGTCCTGCTTTAACAACAGACCTCACAATGACAGGAAAACAAGTTTGTGTGTGAGAGGCTGCAGCAGGAAACAGACATGAAGGCTCCGTCTGCCAGCAGGAAGCCTGCAGGAACAGATCCTTTACATAATAACCTGACCACAGCGTCCCCTACAGGCCACAGCGCCCCCTACAGGCCACAGCTCCCCCTACAGGCCACAGCAGGGATTTATTCTATCCTGATTAAAACATGGAAACTATAAAATCTTATTAGCACCAGCGATTCCATAACCTTCACACTGGATCCAACTGGAAATCAAACTACTTATACTGGTTCCAGTTCGTCGAAATGTTTTCACTGTTCTGATCATAAATGCACTGCAAAAACGATCTAGAAATAAGTAAAAAAAAAATTACATTAATTATATATACCCTCAATTTGAGTAGATAAATAAGATGATATGCAAATGCAATGAGGGTTTCTGCTCCTAGAATAAGACAATTAGATAATATGGACTTCAAATAATATAATGCAATTGTTCTTTCTTATCTTAAATGAAAATTGTCTTATTCCATTAGCAAAGTGTCTCACTTTCCTCCTCAATTAATTGAAGAGGTGTGGTGACCAGAATTTTAAAACAAACCAACTTTATCCCATTTTAATTACTGGTTTTGGTTTAATAAATTTTAAAAAGTTCTATTTAAGGGAGATTTTGTAAGTTTTTCCTGAAAAACATCCTTTTAATTTGACCCTTTAGAACTAAACCTGTTTAATGATCAGACTGACGCCTCAGTAGTTCTGCATTGATGCATCTATCAGCCTGTTGCCTATTTTCATGAGTTCAGTTTGGGTCAGAAATTCCCGTTCTTTTCCACGGTCCTGACATTACGTCAAGATGGATTCTGTGGAAACTCAGAAGCATCCGCTGTAGGTACCAGATCTGCTCGAGGCCCCGCCCCTTCATTTACGTCATTATATGGCAACTCCACTGAGACAAACTGTATTGCACCCGTTTATTAAAAATCAAATGGAGTCTAAACATATTATTCCCTATATTTGCTATTATTTTCCATTTCATCGGCGATCTAAAGTAGCAGAAAGTAGAAAACAATCATTGTCAGTCTGGAAGGAAAGTCCTGCTCTAAGAAAGACTGAGCTCTGCTATTTAACAATGTGACAAAAAAAAGTTTATTTTTATTCTTTTTATTAAGATCTGAGGTCAGAGGACGAATGGAACATCTTAAAAAACTACTTTCATAGAGATTTTAGACAAATTAAACAGTTATTCTATTTGGAGAAAACGAACAGTTGTTGTTGAGTTGAATTTAAAAGTAGCATAGCTTAATCAGGCTAACTGAGCAAGCTAAAATAAGCTAACCTGTTAGCTACAGCTAGCCACAGCGCTACCTCTTTATATCACGGTCTAACAGTTACTTTGTTCACCTGATCAGATTTTTTTCAGTTTTGTGATCAATCAGGTAAAACTTCATCAGTCATTATAAACGCTAATGCTACAGATGCTCCAGACTCTGCACACGCTGGGTGATGTTATTGTCATCAGGGCAACCACTATGTTTACATCATGTGGCAACGTTCAGCCAATCCTGTAGCGTAACGTCACTGATAGGAAGCAGATCTGGTTCCTACAGCAGCATCCAGCTGAACTCAGACACCATCGAAAAATTAATGTTAAGGTGAAAAAGGTCAGAAATACACTATTAGGACGAGCAGAATAGAGCAGAATAGAGCAGAATAGATCTGCAGTTCTGTGTTTTGGTCACAGGTGGCAGCATCATTACAAAACTAAGTAATTTCTCTTTTAAATTCATGTTTAAATTCAGTTAATTGTCTTTATTGAATCTGATCCTGAAGATTTAAAAACTACATTAACTCTGTTATATCTAAACCGACTCTGTTTTCTTGTTAAATGTTCCTGATCTGTGGATCTGTGTCTCCGTTCTCTAACTCACGTGAGGGTAGAACTCCATGAGGATCAGGAACTCTGGCCGGCCGTCGCCGGTCGCCCTCTCCTGGGCAGCCAGGAAGCGCGCCACGTTGTCGTGCTGCTGCAGCAGAGGCAGGCGGTAGATGGAGCGCTCGTTGGAGAAGTTTGCACGGTTAGCAGAGCTGAAGACTTTAACGGCCACGCAGCGCTCGTTCAGAGCGCCGCGGAACACGGCGCCGTAACGGCCTCGACCNCTCAGACGTCCAAATGAACGGGTCCAGTCTGGTCCAGGTCCAGTCCGGTCCGGTCCGGGTTTTATTTCTAGTCCTGCTTTAACAACAGACCTCACAATGACAGGAAAACAAGTTTGTGTGTGAGAGGCTGCAGCAGGAAACAGACATGAAGGCTCCGTCTGCCAGCAGGAAGCCTGCAGGAACAGATCCTTTACATAATAACCTAACCACAGCGCCACCTACAGGCCACAGCGCCCCCTACAGGCCACAGCGCCCCCTACAGGCCACAGCTCTCCCTACAGACCACAGCGCCCCCTACAGGCTACAGTGCCCCCTTCAGGCCACAGCGCCCCCTACAGGCCACAGTGACCCCTACAGGCCACAGTGCCCCCTTCAGGCCACAGCGCCCCCTACAGGCCACAGCGCCCCCTACAGGCCACAGCGCCCCCTACAGGCCACAGCGACCCCTACAGGCCACAGCGCCCCCTACAGGCCACAGTGCCCCCTTCAGGCCACAGTGCCCCCTACAGGCCACAGTGCCCCCTTCAGGCCACAGCGTCCCCTACAGGCCAGAGTGACCCCTACAGGCCACAGCGCCCCCTACAGGCCACAGTGCCCCCTTCAGGCCACAGTGCCCCCTTCAGGCCACAGTGCCCCCTACAGGCCACAGCGACCCCTACAGGCCACAGCGACCCCTACAGGCCACAGCGCTCCCTACAGGCCACAGTGCCCCCTTCAGGCCACAGTGCCCCCTACAGGCCACAGCGCCCCCTACAGGCCACAGCGTCCCCTACAGGCCAGAGTGACCCCTACAGGCCACAGCGCCCCCTACAGGCCAGAGTGACCCCTACAGGCCACAGCGTCCCCTACAGGCCACAGCGCCCCCTACAGGCCACAGCGTCCCCCACAGGCCACAGCAGGGATTTATTCTATCCTGATTAAAACATGGAAACTATAAAATCTTATTAGCTCCAGCGATTCCATAGCCTTCACACTGGATCCAGCTGGAGATCAAACTCCTTATACTGGTTCCAGTTGGTCGAAATGTTTTCACTGTTCTGATCATAAATGCACTGCAAAAACGATCTAGAAATAAGTAAAAAAAAATATACCATTAAGTATATTTACCCTTAATTTGAGTAGAGAAATGAGATGATATGCAAATGGAATGAGGGTTTCTACTCCTAAAATAAGATAATTAGATAAAATGGACTTCAATTAATACAATGCAAATGTTCTTGCTTATATTAAATGAGAATGTTAAAACAAACCAACTTTATCCCATTTTAATTGCTGATTTTGGTGAAATAAATTTTAAAAAGTTCTATTTAAGAGAGATTTTGTAAGTTTTTACTGAAAAACATTTTTGTTAACTTTTTATTTGACCCTTTAGAAATAAACCTGTTTGATGGTCAGACTGACGCCTCAGTAGTTCTGCATTGATGCATCTATCAGCCTGTTGCCTATTTTCATGAGTTTACTTCGGGTCGGAAATTCCCGTTCTTTTCCGCCGACCTGACGTTAAGGCAAGAAGTAAATTCAAGATGGATTCTGTGGAAACTCAGAAGCATCCGCTGTAGGTACCAGATCTGCTCGAGGCCCCGCCCCTTCATGTTAGGTCATTATATGGCAACTCCACTCAGACAAACTGTATTGCGCCCGTTTATTAAAAATCAAATGGAGTCTAAACATATTATATATTTGCTATTATTTTCCATTTCATCTTTGATCTAAAGTAGCAGAAAGTAGAAAACAATCATTGTCAGTCTGGAAGGAAAGTCCTGCGTTCTAAGACAGACTGAGCTCTGCTATTTAACAAGGTGACAAAAAAAGTCTCAGTTTATTTTTATTCTTTTTATTAAGATCTGATCCTAAAAAATTACTTTTTATAGAGATTTTAGACAAATAAAACAGTTATTCTACTTGTAGAAAATGAACGATTGTTGTTGACACGGATTTAAAAGTAGCATAGCTTAATCAGGCTAACTGAGCGAGCTAAAGAGGCTAACCTGTTAGCTACAGCTAGCCACAGCGCTACCTCTTTATATCACGGTCTAACATTTACTTTGTTCACCTGATCAGATGTTTTTCAGTTTTGTGATCGATCAGGTAAAACTATTATCTAACTGCTATTATCGTTGTCAGGGCAACCACTATGTTTACATCATGTGGCAACGTTCAGCCAATCCTGTAGCGTAACGTCACTGATAGGAAGCAGATCTGGTTCCTTCAGCAGCATCCAGCTGAACTCAGACACCATCGAAAACTCAAGGTAAGGTGAAAAAAGTCAGAAATAAACTATTAGGACGAG